ATTTGACGGTTGAAGACACTGAGGCCCAGTTTGGGGTCGGTCACTGTGTAAGGCTCTGCATCACCAGCAGCAGAGGTGACTTCAGCTGATGTAGACAGTGAACAGGTGTATTTGAAAGGGTACTGAGTAGCTTTTACAGCACCTCATGGGAAACAGATGGGAGCCCAGAGAGGCCAGGGGCTGACCTGACCAGTCAGGATCCTTACCCAGGGCCTTGGGGGATTTTCAGGAGAGATCTCTTCTACTGTGTTTGCCCTTGGGCCACAGGTTAGGGCAGACAATGCCCCACTCTGGGCACAAAAGTGGCATTGTCTTGCTTTAATTCCCTATTCAAATGTCACCTTATAAGAGAAGCCTTCCTTGATTGCTATATTTAAAATAGTAACGCCTTCCGCTTACTGTTCCCTTCCCCACTTACCTGTTCTTTATTGCTCTCCTTTAGTACTTGTTACCATCTGACAACTACCTGATTGTTTACTTTTTGTTTCCATCCCTTACAGTGTAAACTTCATGAAGAGGTGGACTTTGGGGGTTGGTTGGTTTGTTTTAATGCCCCCATAGTCCCCTTGTGAGGGGACAGTGTCCACCAGAAGCTGCTTGTGCCCTTAGGCGTAGAGCTTCCTGTAGCTTCCAGGTCAGGAAGCTGCAAAGCTCCTCCTTTGGGAATTTATGATGGGGGGGGGGGGAGGTGCCTTTCCCGAGGTGTCCCCCTTTGCCTGCATTCCAAGGTCCACGGTGAGATGGCTCTTCCAGGATCCTAACGCTGGAGGAACAGAGCTGTGTGAGTAAGTGTAAATGAGCAGATGCAGAAGTGGGAAAGGGATGACTGGAGGCCAGGGTCCCTGTGCAGTTTGGATGCTACATTTTTCAACCAAGTTTTTGACATCAGGCTAGACGGACCTGTCCACTGGTGTGGGTGAGCAGAGATTCCTCCTAGCTGTATCCAGGCTCTCTCTTCATTTTCTTTTCACTCCTTCTTTCCTCATTTCACCTGCAGCCCAGCCACCCTCCCGCCCCCATCCATTTCCCAGGAAAATAAATCTCTGGGAGGAGGCCGGGAGAGTGGATCTCAGAGAACCCTTCTGAATAAATGTCTATATTAATGAATTATTAACTCAGCCACCCATGACCTTAAACCTAGAAGCAGAGCGCTGAGGGCAGAGAGGAGAGCTGTTGAATTCTTTATTGGAGTCCTGTCAAAGGCAACCGACCATTTGTTCCCCTCCTCCATCAGGAAAAAAATAATTAATATGAAAGGCAAACGCGAAAATTGTATGTCAAACGAAATCAGATAGAGGGTCTCCCGGACACAATCCTCCTCTTGCTTTCCTGCTCCCGCCTGTCACCCTCTCCCAGCGCCCACCTCCAGCTCCCCGCCTCCCTCCCAGATAAGGGTAGGACGGGCTTCCTAAGGATAATTTTCGGGGGTGAAAATTGCTCAGGAAAATGATGAATTTGGGTAGTTAATTTATTGATCCCGGAGCCTCTTCCCACTTGTTTTGTATTAGAGGTCATTAATCAATGAAGAAAAACACCACCGCGCCCCCCTCCCCCGTTTGCATTTAATACACTCACGCCCCTTATTTATTCCTCTGGAACAAATTCCCAGCAAATATTCACCCATCGATTGGGGAGCCATGGATTTTTATAAAGGTTTGATCGCTTCCTAAGTGGTCGAAGTGATTTGTGTCCGCGGTCTCCCTCGAAGGAATGAAGAAGAGGCCAGCGGGTTTGAGGGGAGCATGTCCTGATGGTCCGTGGGCTCACTTTCTGAAAAACCCCTGAGACCTGCCAGCCCCTAGGACGTCCCAGTGCGGGCAGGGGCCCCGCCCGTGTCCTGGGCCCCTTGGGACGGCGCCGAGGATGCTCGGACCTCCGCTACACTCCCCCCCCCTCCCCAGACCTTATTTGTGCGCTCCTGGACCCCGGGCCTGCAGAGCCCACCATTGGACGTTTGCCCCGCTCCACGCGAGCACCCTGAGGCCTCCGTCTCCGAGACCCGCGTGGCCGCGGGCTGCTGGGGGTCCTCGAATCCGGCGGGTCTGGGACGCCGCACACACGTGTGCAGAGGGGGGAAAGGAAGCTCCCTACAGTCTCTCTCCCGGCCCCAGCAGCAAGGGGAGCCAAACCACCCCCAAGGCGCCCCCACTTCCCTCTGGCGTGCGCCCGACGGCGAGGGCAGAGGTTTGGCTGGGGGGCGCAGGAACATGCACTCGGCGCCTCACGCCCCCGGGTGTGAATCTGCCTCCGTGGCTCATCGGTGGCGTGACTTTAGGGAACCCACCTAACCTTCCCGAGCCTCAGTGACCCTCTCTGCGGTATCGGGGTTTACGATAAAGCCGTCTCCGCGTGGTTGCTGGCGGACTAAAGGTACTTGAGGCGCCCACGCGCGCCCGGCACGCGGAAAGCGCGCACGGAACCCGTCCGCTAATTTTACCGCGAACGACCCCCGGGCTTCCCAGAGAGTGGGCGGCGTGAGGCCTCGGAAACAGTCGCTGTCACTAGTGTGTTAAATGCCCGAGATTTTCAAGTGTGTCTGGGGGACGGACAGTCCTGGGGGCCGAGCGCGAGTAAGCGGCCGGCTCGGGCAGAAGCAAGAAAGGGACGCGGCCGCTGCTGCAGCGCCTGGGCTCCCGTCCCTGGGGCTCCCGGTCCTTCCCTGCGGACAGGAAAGTCTCTTCCTTTCTCAGCCCTGAACCCGGAGAGTGTGAGAAAGAGAGTTTGCTGCTTCTCTCGTGGTCTGACAGCCACTGCTGGGCAGTCCCGCGAGCAGACGAACTGACCCGGGCCTGCACCGCCACCCTCTCCTCCCCATGAAGTGTTCACAGCCCGCGGAGCCTGCCTGGTTCGCCTCGGTGCCCACAGCCCCGTGGGGTTTCCCTCGTGGTGTCTGCCTTAAACTTGGGCACTATCAATCTATCCAGGGATGACTGATGACCTTGTCACAGCGATGCCAGTCAAAACATTTTCGGTCCAACCCTGCTCCAAACAGCATCGAGGCATCTTGCGTGAGACCCGGACAAAGTCTAAACAGCAGGATTCCCAGGCTCAGACGAAAGGAGTGGCGGAGAGACAGAAAGAAGCAGAAATCAGGAAAGTGTGGCTAGTAATTGTTCAGAGGGGCGGGTGATGAATAAGTTGGTTTGTTTGGGCAAAGACAAATGCCATTTCTTCTCTGAGGTGTGGACAGAATTGCAACCAGGGGAAAGCGCCTGAGCGGCTCAGTTTCCCACACCCGCCTGCGCCCTCCCCACCGAGCGCTGTGACCGCCTGGAAGCGCGGGGGGTGGGGGCTAATTTGTGGAAGTGAGGCGGCGCCTTGAAGGGCCGCTCGGACCAAGGCGCTGGGCGGTCAAGGTGGCGGGTTGGGACTTCGCTCCCACCCTGCTCCTGGGGCTCTAAGTTTTGGGAGGAGAGACCTATACATGAACCCCCAGGACAGTCCCCGGCAGCCAAAGGCAGACGAGCCTCGCCCCCGTCCCGGAGCAGTTGTACTAGATGCAGCTCTGGATACTTGCCTCGGACGGACGCCAGCAAGGAGTGAGCCCCCCAGGGAGACAATTCGAGAGAGTTCGCGGAGCGCTGGGCGGTGTGAGACTCCACTGCAGCCGCCGACCAGCCCAGCGGCCGGGCTCCAGCCCCGGTAGGACCCGCCGCCCCTTAGAGATCCTCTGTCTCCCGACTCCCACCCCCACAAAGCCTGCCTGCGCCGCTGAGAACTG